TGGCCTCTTTTCACTGGTGGCCACTGGCAGAACTAGAGGTAATGGCCACAAACTAAAACACCAAAAGTTCCACATGAACTTACGGAAAAATTTCTTGAGAGTGAGGGTGACAGAGCACTGGAACAGGCTGCCCAGAGAGGATGTGGAGTCTCCTTCTCCGGACATCTTCCAAACCCGCTTGGACGCAGTCCTGTGCCACGTGCTCTAGGTGACCCTGCGTGTGCAGGGGGGTTGGACTAGATGACCTCTAGAGGTCTCTTCCAACCTTAAGCATTCTATGGTTCTATGAAAAGACTTCATCTAGAGCTCAGGTAATACTGAGGTGGTTGATTCTCTTAGGAGAAAAGAAGCAGTCTTTTAGAAGTAGCCTGAGTAGTGTCACATAGCCCTCTGATTCTCTATCCTGTATAAATTCCTGTTTATCAGGAATGCTAATAATATCTTCCAAAATAATCTTTGTAGAGGCAATGAAGCCTCTGAAATTAAAGCACCTGAAGTTGAAGTAAACTCTGCTGTATAGAGTCATTAAAAACTCAAAAACCAAATCTATCAGACTGGTTTGTGTGCATTTTAATCTAATAAATTTCCTTTGTGATATTTTGGTCCAAGCAATAAAATATTTACAAAACGGCAAAAGAAGAAAATGAGCAAGCCTTAAACGCTTTTGCCTTGTATATGTTCTCACCACGCAGTTTTTAAACATAGAGAAAAAACAGTAAGCATAGTAGGTACTTTTCAAATCATTTTTATTAACAACAATATGGATCCAACTTGTCAAGAAGTTACAATTAACATTGTAATGTATAGGCTAATGCCATTGCAGTGTCAGTGGAAGCAGCCTTCATACTTTCTGAACCTGTTACGAAACTGGCTTTTTAACATTCAAAGCAGTCTAAAATGCTTCCAAGTAGCGGATGATATTGGATATGTCTGGAATTGTCCTATGTGTAGCTGAATGGATGGCCACATTTGCATCCAATTAATGAACAGGAAAATATTACATGCTTCCACTGACGCTGCAGTGGACAATTTTGATTTCAAAAAACATTTAACCTTTTTAGACAGCGACAGCACTTTGTGTGATGTTGTAATCCATTCAAATTGAGTCGATTAACACACTTGAAAAAAAATGTGAAGCAAAAATACCTGGGACAAATTCTCTTCTGACCTGTATCTCATTCAAACCTAATGAAACCAAAAGGATTGCATGACATATGAGTCAGGATAAAGTTGGCCCAGAGAGGCAAGTTCATTCCTAGTATAGGTGGGTTCAGTTCCTATATGGTTAATGGAGCTGAGCCTGATTACACAATGAAGGCCGAACTTCACCCAAATGTGGAGTCCATTCACTGAAGTCAGTGAAGTCATCCTACGAGGAAATTAGCCTCAGGTGTTTAAACATTTTTTTCCCCAATCCTTTGCTCTCACATTGGCTTTTCATGGTTATTCCTCTTTTCTGATTGTTCTTTTATTTTCTCTGTGCTTTTTTAAAAAAAGTCCCTTCTTCCCTTTTTACCTTAGTATTTTGTGCGTTATTTTTATACAGTCAATGTGACATGGGTAAATTCAGCTAAATATTAAGTTTCCTCAGGAAATAATTGGAATATTACCATTTTCACTTTAAACAGATGCCCAAGAAAATCAGGATTTGAATCTGAGCTCTCGATTCAAGCAATATTCTTACTGCAGTCGGTAGAATTTTTGTTTGAGTAAGGAGTGCAGGTTCCAATACAGAGATACTACTGTACACCAGGTGTTCTTTAGCAATTCAGTATGATTTGACTTATCACAGAAGAGCAGCTGAATTACTCATCACCATACTATCATGAGAGCAGTCATTTTGTAGGATTATTTCAAAAACATACATAACAACTGTGGGCACTGTGAATAAAAGTGTATGATCTTTGCAATCTTGAATCCTAGGCTAAAACACTATATTCATATTTAAATAAAAAGTATAGATCGTATAAGCCAGGAGCAAATACAAATTTTTCCACAAATAATGATAATCAAAACTATTCTTTTCAGTTCTCTCTTCGATCAGGTACAAGAAACATGCTGATCAGAAAACAGTTATTTGGGTAAGGCTTAATTCCTGAAGCTCTTACTTAAGTTGAATTTTCTCGTCAACAGTCCTCTGTAGAGTGTAAATAACAGCAAAACGTTGTCTTCTGTCCCTACTCATCAAAAATTCCTATTAGCTCTCATGAGCTTGAGTTTATTAAGCAGCTCCAGACAAGACTTGAAAAGCCAGACAGGTCCTTCTTTTGTGAAACCAATGAATGACTGACAGTCATGACACTGTACTTAGGGAGCATGGAAAACAGGAAACTCTTGAGGAAATACGAGCAAAGCTCATAAAAAATCCAAACAATTCTTCCTCTCCAGAATTGAATATATTCACTATTCTTTCTATTTTCTATCAATATAATGTTAACAGATTCCTATATAATAAGACTTGCAGCTACAAAAATAATAATGGTGAGCATAAAACAAAAAAAAATTAGGATCTTAAATCATAACACGAAGAGATACGATCTTCTGGATTTTGTAAAGACACTAACATTTTCATACATAATTTATAGAATTCTTTTTCTTTTGTGCACAAAATTGTATTAAATAAATTAACTTAAAATTAGAAGGACTCAAGCATGTCATTTAAGGCAAAAATACCAAGTTCAGTGAGATAAATCATCAGCAAAACCCAAAGCCCAGCTTCTGGTACAGTCAGAGCCAATACGAAGGTCTCCCATTGACTCCTTCCAGGCTCAATGGGGTGCAATGATCTGCTCGTGCACATGAGGGTTTGGAGTCCAATTCGTGATGCCTTTGTTTTTCTACCTAATGAGAGAGCGGAGGTGAGTTTCATTAATGACACATAGGTACCATGTGCCTCAACTCTTGCTCCTTAACTGAACCTACGTGCAGGTTTGCATTTAGGCCAGCAAGAGGCTTCATACGAGAGGAAAGAAAGGCACCAAGAACTGTTGGGGAAAAGAAAGAGAAGACCTGAAGCTTTAAGTTTTCAAATTTTGTATAGTATTTTAAATGTACAGATTTGTCTGGATAAACCACAGGCATTCAGTATGTTACAGCTAAATCAACTGAGATGTGGAAGAAAACCAAAACCCCCTATTTACCCACACAAAATGACTGTTGCAATCAGCCTTTAGCATGACCAGCCCGCACATTATAAACAGCAAAGGCTGAATGTGGTAAATTATATGGCAAATTAGTGGTGAGGAAATTGTGCTTTAAGGTGTCTTTCGGAACTGAACGGGCGAGCTCTGCTCCGGCGTGAGCCACGGAGCGCGGCGCACCGTCTGTGGCCCCCCGCAACCACGTGCGAGACACTCGGCAGTTTGCATCTACTTCCACACAGTAAGGTTATCATGTAACATCCAGCAATACTTCAGTAAAAGAGACACGGGAGCAGAAATTACAGTGGTTTCTGGGCAAACAAAGTCCTTCATGTTACAATCTATAGCATTTAGCCATGATTAAGACTGGAGTGATGTTTTTGATGAACACCGTAGGTTCCCAGCGGGTGTGGGCCTCGAGGAAACGCTGCCCTGAGTGAGCTGGCACTGGCACCCCCGCACGCTCGGTGCTCCTGTCGCTACAGGGAAGCTGAGCCCAAGTCACGTTGCCTACAACAAGCCTGTGGCGCAGGTGGGCCGTGAATTTGGGGCAGAAACCAACAGAAACCTTGTGTAGTTGTGAAGAGCTAACGCCTCCCCTGGGCGCTCGGAGCGGCGAAGCCTTGCTGGGTTGGGGCAGGTAGGCAGGGACACGGCGCCCGCATCTCAGCACAGGGGAGAGGGAGGCAGCGCAAGAGAGAGGGCGCGTGAAGCAGCAACGCGCAGTCTGGCGCAGGCTTTGAATTTTAAAACTTTGGGTGTTCTGAGGAGGGAGTCTGTAGGTCCTTTCTCGGAAAGTTCGTAAGAAATGACTACAGTTGGGTTACAGTGTTGAGCTGTAAGAGTGTGAACACTTTTCTTTCCTCCTCCTCCTTTATTAAAAACAAAACAAAACACACAACTGCCTTCAGTTTGTTCACTTAAGATGCATTTTTCTCTACCACTATTTCCTTTTCTGAATGCCTATATGACTCTTTTGAAATAGCACTTGGTATCTGTGACTGTCAGGCTGCAATTTAAAAGATCTTTTTCCATCTTTATCTCCTTTATTTTATTAATATTTTATTATTTATCATTTTCCTTCCTGCCTATCTAGATCCATTTTTTTTTCCTTCACTGATTGTGTTATTTTTCTCTCTTTTCTGTCCTATCCTCTTTCCCACCGCATTTCAGAGGAATTGCATTGAAGTTCCTCGTTTTCCCTCCTTTTCCCAGACTTATGAAGTGCTGCCATGGAACCAGGTTGTGACAGTGAGGAAACTGCCAAAATTTCCACAGAAGGAAAGACTGCTTCTACAATAAAGGCAGTTCCTGCTCCTCACCCTGTCATGCTGTGGCCAAAATATTTCAGACACACATGGTAACTCCTCAACAGGACTGGAAGAGGAAGAGATTCTCACGAATTTCTAGTGCAGTTGCCTGAATTAACCACTTCTGAGGCCAACCCCAATCTTTAGAATATGAGCTTTTCATTGCAAAAGAATGATCTCATTTTAAAGCACAACCTGAAAGCAGTGTGTCGAGTACTTCTGCCACAACACTAAATCACCAAAAAGTAGACAAATACTAACATTCTGTTTTTTTAGAGTTAAAATAATAATGTGTATATCTTGCAACTGGCAGCCATTTCTAGTCCCATATTACTGGTTTCCTTGGTACCTTGCTAGCAGCTGTAGGTATTTTTTTTGTTGTAAACATAAACTATCATCTAAATCAGGACATATATATATATTTTTAATTAGTTCAGAAGCAAAGTGCTTTAAAACTTAGGATTTTTACTTCTGCCCTGTAGAAACGGCACTAGGTCTAAATGCTCAGAATTTTGCTTTTTGATACATCCTGCAGCATTAGCTTTGTTGCTAACTCGTTATTTAAACCTACTGTACCACAAGAAAGGTACTGCTGTACTGTAGGTATAAATTTGAATTGTAGCCATCACTTAAACATGCATTTTCATGCAACTAGAAGATATGGGCTCATTCAACTGCCTTTTGGATTCATCCTGATTTTTGTGACTTTCTCTTATTAAAAAGGCTTTCAAAATAGTTCATGCTGTGATATGTATGCCTAGAGGAATTACCCAGCCAATGAAGAAAGCCCACAAGCTGCTATTTGAGTTTGACATGGAGCAGACTGAGTGCCTCTGTACCATCCCCTGGCTTGCAAATGTTTTGAGATGATCTTGATATTCCAGTCCTTAGAGAGTCAGTAGAGAGAGTTGTTTCCACTAATGGGCGAGAGATGGCTTCAGTAGTCTCTGATCCTGCCTCTGTTTCCAACTCTTCATCAGTTATAAATAATTTTGACTCCCTCCATTTGGAGTATATGTCTTGGCTACCTCTCGAACTACTGGAGTCACTACCAGCAATCTGTACATTCAGTTCTTCTGAGGACTGTATAAGATTTTGTACAGATAAAGATTTTCCTAAATCCATTTGCGCCACAGGTTTAACTGAGAGCAAAGGTTCTCCTGCTGCATCAAAACTTTTTCTCCACGTGAGATCTTTTGCTGCGCTGGGCTGTGCAACTTGTCCATTGTCCTTTGATGCAACAAGGCAAGCGGTGACATCGGAAATATTTTCCTGTGTGGTTACAGGGATTATATGAACGGGCTCAGGCCTACTGATATGCTTCATTGATGAAAAAGGTGGTATCTGTAATGTTGTGGGAGTTGCTGGCTTAGATGCCTGGGTTATTTGGTTCGAGGAATTACTAACCGTTGCAGGTCCATCATTTGGCACTTGCGTCGCTTGACTATGCATAGCTGGACTAAAAGCATAGTAAGCCTGAGTGCTAAATTCATTTGGTGTCAGGATAAGCTGTAGGCCACGAGGCAGATTGGCACTGGCTGATCTGGATACACATCCACTAATTTGTGCAGAATTAGACAAATCCTTGCTGTCTGCTGGGCTTTGATAATCAGAAGTCTGCTCACAGTCAAAAGCTGGCATTTGAAGTGAAGCCAAAGTCAGTGCTGAAGCAGATCCTTTTCGTAAAACTTGTTGATAAATATCTAACAGGCAGTCCAGTTTTGATTCAATGGATTGAACCTATGGGTGGAGAGGAAAAGGTTAATGTTAGTGAAAAATGCTAATTCAAAATATTTGGAAAAAAAAAAAGAAAACGTAAAAAGGCAAAGAGAAAATATAACTCCTGATGCAAAGTTAGATGAAGAATCTGATGAAGAATCTGATGATGCTTTTCCTACAGAGAGAAACTAATAACTTTTGAAAAATAATGCTTTGAAAATTTTGGAGCTGTAGATTTTTCATAAGCTAAAACCGGGAAAAATAATAACCTATGATTTTTCCTTTTTTCCTTTTTTTACATAAAACACAGAGTAAAATAATTTGTATATGTTTTATTTCAACATGTAAATAGTGCAGAATATCATAAAACAATTAGCTATTCAATATCAGAAACTGTCAATAAAATACAGCAGAACAAGACAAAAGTCAATTACCTGCTTCTCCACCTTGACTACACGCCCCAACATGCTAAGGTCATCAGTTATCTCATTCTCTGCAGTATTCTTTTCTCTGCTTCTTTTATCTGCTGTGATTTGCCCTTTTCCAAGAATTTGGTCGACGCTGTAAGAGAATTAGAGGCTGTTAAAATTCCTGAAAACTGAGATACTATGGAGGTGTTCACTAGGTATATACATTAAAAATTAGAATTGTAACATGTCAGAGGAGCACCCGAGAAGGAGTAAAACTTAATTTTATTAAAAATTAATTAGAAAATTAAAAAGAAAATAGGGAATTATTTTTGAGCATAAAATTAAAAAGAGAATGGGGAGTGATTTTTGAGCATTCAGAGATTATCAAGCAGGAAATGATGTGAAAATAAAGTTTTAAACAAATAAATGAGGTAATAAGTCCACATTTGGGTGGAATTTTTTAATCAAAAGCTAGTAAGTTTTAGTCTGAAAATACTTCTGGGTGTTCCGGTTACCATTCATTATAGCTCCAGTAGGCAATTGTGTTTAAAGGATTTATCTTGGATTCTCTGCTTCTAGATTTTAAAACATAGATATTAAAAAAAGGCATAAAAACAGTTTATTGAACAAGTCATGCTGAGACAGTACAAAGTTTCCCTGTGTTTGGGATCCTGTTTTATCCTATTTGGGGGTCCCTATTTTGTTCCCACTTGTGTCCGTTGGCAGCCACAGAGGTCTCCTGGGCCTGGTCACTGGACCAGGCATTGGGCATCCTGCAGGGACATTGGGCATCCCACATCTTGGAGCAGAGACTGGCTCTGCTGACGGGACATAAAGACCTGGCACGACTGAAGTTATATCAATATGGCCCATTTTAAATTAATGAAATGAAACAAGAAGGTTTTTTTTTTTTTTTTTTAAGAAAAAACTTTAAAGGAGGTAAAGCCAGGTCTAGATTTACTGAGGGCAGAGAGGTGGTGGCCTCAGTGTTATCTGATGCTGGGCAGCTATCAGACAGACAGGGCAGCTATCAGTGTTGGCCTCAGCCTGTTGGCAACTTCCTGGCTTCCTTTTCTTCTTTATGGATGAATTTCATAGCTAAAGGATTACATTTTCTATAGGGTTATGTTTACACTTTCATTTTCTGGCGACACCTTAGATGCTGCTTTTTTTTTTTTTTTTTTTCTTGATTTCACCCACAATTTAATTTCTGGATCAGTTAGGTTCATAGAAAGAGAGTCTTGATTGAAGAATGGATGGGAATTTAACACAGGAATGTTAAATGTTACCAATATTCATCATGCAGTGAATGATGCAGCAGGATGCTTGTGCAGAGCAGATCAAAGATGATTCTTTCCTTACCGTGACTGAAGGCTTTTTATTCTGCATAACATATCTAGATGACCTGCTGAGTACTGTTCAATGACATCTTTGACATCATATGGACGAAGTGTTTCCTTA